TAACTATGTACACTATTTACATTGTTTGGACTGTTGTCCTCATCTTTATTGCCATATTCACCTTCAACATCTGTCTCTATTTCTCTGATGAGGTATTGTAACTATTTACACTATTTACATTGTTTGGACTGTTGTTCTCATCTTTATTGCCATATTCACCTTCGACATCTGTCTCTATTTCTCTGATGAGGTATTGTAACTATTTACACTATTTACATTGTTTGGACTGTTGTCCTCATCTTTATTGCCATATTCACCTTCAACATCTGTCTCTATTTCTCTGATGAGGTATTGTAACTATTTACACTATTTACATTGTTTGGACTGTTGTCCTCATCTTTATTGCCATATTCACCTTCAACATCTGTCTCTATTTCTCTGATGAGGTATTGTAACTATTTACACTATTTACATTGTTTGGACTGTTGTCCTCATCTTTATTGCCATATTCACCTTCAACATCTGTCTCTATTTCTCTGATGAGGTATTGTAACTATTTACACTATTTACATTGTTTGGACTGTTGTCCTCATCTTTATTGCCATATTCACCTTCAACATCTGTCTCTATTTCTCTGATGAGGTATTGTAACTATTTACACTATTTACATTGTTTGGACTGTTGTCCTCATCTTTATTGCCATAATTCACCTTCAACATCTGTCTCTATTTCTCAGATGAGGTATTGTAACTATTTACACTATTTACATTGTTTGGACTGTTGTCCTCATCTTTACACCATATTTAACATCTGTTTCTATTTCTCTGATCCCTATTTACACTATTTACATTGTTTGACTGTTGTCCTCATCTTTATTCATAATCACCTTCAACATCTGTCTCTATTTCTCTGATGAGGTATTGTAACTATTTACACTATTTTATTTGTTTGACTTTGTTTTTTATTGCCTATTCACCTTCAACATCTGTCTCTATTTCTCTGATGAGGTATTGCTATTTACATATTTACATTGTTTGACTGTTGTCTCATCAACATCTGTCTCTATTTCTCAGATGAGCTATTGTAACTATGTACACTATTTACATTGTTTGGACTGTTGTCCTCATCTTTATTGCCATATTCACCTTCAACATCTGTCTCTATTTCTCTGATGAGGTATTGTAACTATTTACACTATTTACATTGTTTGGACTGTTGTCCTCATCTTTATTGCCATATTCACCTTCAACATCTGTCTCTATTTCTCTGATGAGGTATTGTAACTATTTACACTATTTACATTGTTTGGACTGTTGTCCTCATCTTTATTGCCATAATCACCTTCAACATCTGTCTCTATTTCTCAGATGAGCTATTGTAACTATGTACACTATTTACATTGTTTGACTGTTGTCCTCATCTTTATTGCCATATTCACCTTCAACATCTGTCTCTATTTCTCTGATGAGGTATTGTAACTATTTACATTGTTTGGACTGTTGTCCTCATCTTTATTGCCATATTCACCTTCAACATCTGTCTCTATTTCTCAGATGAGCTATTGTAACTATTTAAACTATTAACATTGTTCGGACTGTTGACAACTGGAAGGTCGTATTGAAGGTAAAAAACAACGTAAATACAAGGACAGCATTTTGTGCCCCCCCCCGTGTTAATGTGAAATGATCTAGAGACGTGGCCATTCAAAATAACTCTCATTACCCGATTTGTTAAGAACGATTGGATTGAGTCAAATAATCTGCCAGAGACACCATTATCATTGAGCTTGTGTTTGAATGATTGATTGATTTACTTTTTACAGTTTATCAACCCTTTGTAGGTTATTTAAAGTCAGAAAATATTTTTATATTCTTAGAATATTTCTAAGCTTAACGTACAGTGTGTTAATACATCTACTTCTTGTCGGTATTATCTCTAGTTTATTTTGTTTTACGGCATGTCAACATCTCAATGGGTTATTTACTACCGACAAGATTTTTAGTATAGGTTTGTATTAATAGAATATGTATTCTTTGTAAGAAATCAATTTTTAGATCAAGTTTCTTTGACATATTTTTGTGAAGATTGTTTTTGTCGAGAGCTAGATGAATTATTGGGAATATTTTTTTTCTTCATTGCTGCTAATAATGTTTTTCAAAAATGTGTTGCTGCTCATTTTTTTTAAGAAATCTATTGTTGGTATTATCACTATAAGAAAACTATTTTTACATTTAGTTTTTTAATCCTAGTTTGAGGGTTAACCATTTGCCCATAGTCGGACCCTAACAGGTGCTACCACCCTGGGTTAGAATTACTGTTGTTCCCAGGTCCACCCCAGGCTGGGTGGTACCACCTGTTAGCGACCCCAAAACGGGCTAATTGCTAATCCCCTAACTGTGTTCAAAACACCATGATGGTATAAAAATACAAGGAATACATTTTTGTCCAGCAATCTCTTCCCAAAATTAAACTGTATTTAAAAATATAACTTCAACCAAACTACAACATAAAACACACGTATCACTGCCTCTAGTAATTATCTCCACACAAACATGTATATGCACAAAAGCTGAGTATTATCTACCATGTAATCAATTGTGAAAGTAGAATAACATATATTTTTATTACTTGAAATCTCTCAAGAAAATTAAATTTCAGCATTAAATGACCCATAAGGATTTGATGTGCCGTTAAATAAAACAAACTAGCGTTGGTTAAGAATAGGTTCTCCTTTTTTCTTTTTATTCATTTTTGCTTTGCAGATACAATCTGTCTGAAAATTATTCTCTTTCACACTCCCTCTGTCTTTCTCTCTCTCTCTCTCACACACACACACACACACACATATGTATTAAGTAAGGGTCGATATAATGTTAATAGTTAATTCAAATTTTAATGTAAAAGCATTTTGTTGTATAATAAAATCTGTTATGACGAGGTTAAAGAGAGAAGCATGGATATGACTCCATGAGATAACGATAGTGAATTATTAAAAATAAGGAGAAGTAATTATTAAAACATAGAGAGAGGTAGAAAGATGGGGGAGTAGAGGAGAAAGACATATATATATATATAAATAGGTTTGTTAATAAAAAAAGGGCAAACGAAACGGTACCATTGTGATCAGTACGAAAAGAATTTATTATATATCAATTATTAAACACAAGACAGAAATGAAACACGAAGATTAACGTTATTATTCTGGAATTTTCGGGCACGCCTGTGTCCTTTATCAGCGGTACAAGAAATAAACAGAGAAACAGGGAAGACCCACCAACGGTGGTTCTTGTAAATTCGTTGTAAATGGTATTTTAAGTAAAAATCCGAACCTGCTTGATTCCTCGAGTGCGAAACTTTTTTTGAAAATGATCGGGATGAACGCATTAGGCTGTTTCTTACACACACACACACACACACACACACACACACACACACACACACACACATATATATATATATATATATGCATATTTATATATATAGCAGGCCATTCGTTTTCTCGCTAGCCAATCTCTGTTGCGGACGCTTGCTCAGGCACATTTGTGTTTATTCAACATCCACAGAGCCAACCTGTGGTTTATATTGCAACTGTGCTGAGCATACCTTAGTTACATGTTTCTGGGAAAGAGCGTGTTATCTAGCGTGATCAACAATTTGAACAATGCTAGCACGGTCCAGCCCTCGGCCACGATGACTTGTAATTTCGTGCCAGCACAGCTATCAACGGAATCCAAAGTTTCCGTCTGCCCAATTTCACTCACAAGACTTGGGTCAACGCATCGTATAGTATTCAGGCACTTTCTAATATATATATAATAATAAGCTTAGACACTAATATTTCATGGTTATAATTTATTACATTGGAATCGTCATTATGATCCAGTTCATCAAACCTACAAATTGAAAAAGAAATCGGAAAAAATAACTCCGTGAATAAAAAATAAAATTTAGTGAGAGTGTATGTATGTGAGTGAGAGGCGAATGTTAGAAGTAAATGAAATCTCTAGAGAGGGGGGGTAACAGACGAGAGAAGAACAGGAAGGCCTAAAAGTGAAGGTGGGGGATTAAAATTTGACAGAGAGAAGTTTTAAATAGAGATGTTACAAGACCGTTTAAAAGAGTGAGAAATATTATATATATATATATATATATATATATATATATATATATATATATATATACATATATATATATATATATATATATATATATATATATATATATATATATATATATATATATATGTATATAAATAAAAAAGAAAGAACAGTAAGATATACAATCCGGTGTTCTTATAGATATTTTTATTTTTTACAAGATACTGCTCATACATACAAACATTCATATATATATATATATATATATATATATATATATATATATATATATATACACACACACACACACACACAAACACACACACACACACATATATATATATATATATATATATATATATATATATATATAAATTTCCAAGACGATAGAATCCAGGTAGAACTCAACGTCCAGGACAGAGTAAGAATATAATAAAAACGCTTAGACACTAATATTTCATGGTTATAATTTATTACATTAGAATAGGTAATTACGATCCAAGTCATCAGACCTACAAATTGAAAAAGAAATCGGAAAAAATAACTCCGTGAATAAAAAATTAAAATTAGTGAGAGTGTACGTATGAGAGTGGGGGACGAATGCGAGAAATGAATGAAAGCTCTAGAGAGGGGGGGGGTAACAGACGAGAGAAGAACAGGAAGGCCTAAAGGTGAAGGTGGGGGATTAAAATTTAATAGAGAGAAGTTTTAAAGAGAAGAGTTAAATGACGGTTTAAATGAGTGAGATACAGATAAATAGGAATTATTTTCAGATGCATAATTCGTTACTGCCTTGGAAATTTATATATTGTGTATATTATCCACTAATATTATCAATATCTATCTATCTATCTATCTATCTATCTATCTATCTATATATATATATATATATATATATATATATATATATATATATACAGTGTATATATATACATAATGAAATATAAGAAAAGAGACAAATATTTAAGAGTGAGAGTGAAGGAAAGGCTGAGAGGGAGATAGATAGAAAATAGAAGAGTGAGTAAGAGAGAGGAAGAAGGAGAAATAGGAGAGACCCCTATATAGAATTTGAGAGAGAAAGAAAGAGAGAGAGAGAGAGAGAGAAAGAAAGAGAGTGAGAGAGAGAGAATGATAATGACTAAGGGAGGGAGAGAGAAAAAATCGAATTTGAAAGAAAGAAAGAATGATAAAATATAAGAAATATTTGAGAGTAAGAGTGAAAGGAGAGAGACGTATTGAGAGGGAGACAATGGAAGAGACAGAGAAAGAGAGGGAGTAGAGAGAGGGAGAAAATGGGAGATATACATATAGATATACAAAGAAAGACAAGAACAGAGAGAGAGAGAGAGTTTTATATATATATATATATACACACACACACACACACACACACACACAGAGAGAGAGAGAGAGAGAGAGAGAGAGAGAGAGAGAGAGAGAATTAATACAAATACAAATAGAAATATTACTGGTGTTACCTTCAGCATATCGAATTCAGAATCTCCTAGACTGGCTCTCCAGTAATCACTCCGTCCACTCGTCAGGGTTACCTATATATATATATATATATATATATATATATATATATATATATATATATATATATATATGTGTGTGTGTGTGTGTGTGTGTGTGTAGAGAGAGATGGAGAGAGAAAGGGAGGGAGAAGAAAACTAGAGAAGCAAGGAACGAAAAATATCGAAGATACACAGAGAAAAATAGAGAGGAGAGATAGAGGAAGTGAGAGAGAGAGAGAGAGTGGTAGAAAGAGAGAGAAGCAAAGAGAGAGCGAAAGGGGAAAGAAGGAGAGAACAAAAAATAGAGAAGATACATACAGATAAGAAAGAGATAGCTAGACAGAGAGAGCGAGAGAAAGAGAGAATCCCTGATAACAAGAGAAAGAAAGATTGGACAAGTGAATAATGGATTGACGAGAAGGCAGAAATTGTGAGTGATGTATATAAAAATAAAATGAGAGATAAAGCGAAGTGGCAAAAAAATAACCTGCCAATCCTCCACCCCAATGCAAAAGAAAAACGGTAACCAACAAAGCCGATATAGCATAAAAGAAAGAATAAATAAAGCATTATTCAAATTAAACTCGATGACCCGTTCTGTTAGATTGTATCCTTAAATCAACGAATAACTCGCCATTCTCTTATTTTTGCATTTGTTTTTCATTTCCTCTCACTTCAAAGCACAAAAAAAAAACCCTAAAAAAACATGAACGCCGATAACACTGAGAAGAGGAGAAACGGTGGCCAACATGGCGTCTGTCGAAATACAGACGGCATTTTTTCGTTGATGCCAACGTGGAAAAAAAAGGATATGAAAAGAGAGAAAGAGCAAAGGACACGTACACAATGGTCAATAATTACAACAAAAAAGAAAACGAAAAAAAAACAAAAACAAGACATCAAAAGGAAAACTACACTTTTCATCCATTTTGGAACCATCATTTTTCGTTGTACAGATAATTTTTGCTTTTTGAAAATGAAACCAATTGATTGCGCCTATTGGAAATCAAGCCGCGAGTCATGAGAAATAATTACTCGAAAAATATCCACCGGATACACAAAATTAGCTCGGAAGAATGGATCATGGTGTATCTTTTGTTATTAAAGAGAACATTGATAAAAAGAATATACTGACATTTATCTCTCCTCGGGTGTAAATCCTCCTGACACCAACAACAGTACAAATTATTATAAAGATAACAATAGCATATGATCAGGGTTGCTGTTAGGACAAGAATAGCAAATTTAACATTCAAAATGTTCTCTCTTTCAACATAAGACCAAAACTATTACATTTAAGTCTCGTAGACTTCTTGACGAGTATGGGGTTACCGCTCTCAAGTCTCGTATACTTCCTGGTGAGTATGGGGCCACAACCATCAAGTTTCGTAGACTTCAGTATCTGTCTATATTTCTGAGATGAGGTATTATGTACACTATTTACATTATTCGGACTATTGTCCTCATCTTTATCGCCATATTCATTACAACGTTTCGGCCTTTCAGTATCTGTCCGTATTTCTGAGATGAGGTATTATGTACACTATTTACATTATTCGGACTATTGTCTTCATCTTTGTCGCCATATTTATTACGTTTCAGCCCTTCAGTATCTGTCTATATTTCGGAGATGAGGTATTATGTACACTATTTACATTTTTCGGACTATTGTCCTCATCTTTGTTGCCATATTTATTACAACGTTTCGGCCTTTCAGTATCTGTCTATATTTCTGAGATTTAAACTATTGTACTCATCTATTTATACTAGGACTCATACATGCAATTACAAGAAATCAATAATAATATTTTAAATATTGAAAACATTTATTTTTAGCATAGGAATTTTTTGAAACTGTTTCTAGATCTTTGATTGTATATGAATCATTCCGCCTCACCTGCTATCCTCTTCCGCCTCACCTGCTAACTCTTCCACCTCACCTGCTACCTCTTCCGCCTCACTTGCTATCCTCTTCCGCCTCACCTTGAACCTCTTCCGGGTCACCTGCTATCTCTTCCGCCTCTCACCCACTACCCTCTTCCGCCTCACTTGCTATCATCTTCCACCTCATATGCTACAAAGATCTTTCCGCCTCACCTGAATTTCCTCTTCCACCTCACTATTTACCTCTTCGGACTCATTGCTACCTCTTTGTTCACCTGCTTACCTCTTCCGCCTCACCCAAATCCTTTTCAAGTCACTTGCGACCTCATCCGCCTCAAAGGACCTCTTCGGACTCACTTGCTATCCTCTTCCGTCCTCACCTGCATTAAACTCTTCCTCCTCACTTGCTATCCTCTGCCGCCTCACCTGCTATCCTCTTCCGCCTCACCTGCTACCTCTTCCGCCTCACCTGCTATCACCTTCCGCCTCACCTGCTACCTCTTCCGCCTCACTTGCTACCCCATCCGCCTCACCTGCTACCCTCTTCCGCCTCACTTGCTATCCTCTTCCGCCTCACCAGCTACCTCTTCCGCCTCACCTGCAATCCTCTTCCACCTCACCTGCTTCCTCTTCCGCCTCACTTGCTACCTTTTCCGCCTCACTTGCTATCCTGTTCCGCCTCACCTGCTATCCTCTTCCGCCTCAGCTGCTACCTCTTCCGCCTCACTTGCTATCCTCTCCCGCCTAACCTGCTATCCTCTTCCGCCTCACCTGCTATATCTTCTACCTCAGCTGCTATCCTCTTTCGCCTCACCTGCTATCCTTTTCCGCTTCACCTGCTATCCTTTTCCGCCTCACCTGCTATCCTTTTCCGCCTCACCTACTATCCTCTTTCACCGCAGATATGAGGCGCGCTTCACCGTTTGGGAACAACTGATTAAAACCAAAAAACATTCAAATTCAAAAAAAGATGCAGAAACGACATTCAAAGATTTCTTAGCATCTAATATTTTAGGGGTTTTAACTTAAAGGCATAAATAACGTTTAAGTTATGAAAGTTATGATTTTATTATTGTTATACTTTTGAATTATATCAAGTATTAAGAATATAGTAGCTATGGTCTGCAAATTGGAGGAGAGAGTTATCAATGATAATTATCAGATTTCGAATCGGTCGTTATCTTCATTTAACCCCGTCTCTGTTTTTTTTTTCTTTTTAAATGTAATTTTTATCACATAAAATTTGGTAAAGCGCGTACAAATTTTAATTCCGTAATTGCAGGCTAGAGAAAAAAAAAGTTTAAATAATTGTCAAGATGCTTTAAAAAGTCGGAGTCAGTGGGCGTGAGGTCAGGGGAATATAAAGAGACAATATTTTGTATCACAAGTTTTGTGCCGTACGGCGGCCGTTAATAATTAAGTATAACTCAAAACTTAAACGTTAAAATAAAACAGTATTTAATTACAACCGCAAATAAATACTTTACAAGAACAAAGAAGTAAAAGTCAACCAAAGAAAATTTCAGTGAATCCCTTATTAGTAGCGCGACTTCTAAATAAAAAACCCAAATCATCTACGCAAAATAATTCACACTAATTCGACTGGATAGTTCCACTCAATAATCATTCCAGTCAGTAGCCTGACACAGCTATATATACATCTGGCTGAAAACATATATTCATAAGTCTAGAGTGCTACGTTCGAACCTCGGTGTCGGTAGTTACTCATTTTCTTCCTATATAACATCTGCTCTTTTTTAGATAAAATCTCTGGAATCTATATCTCATCAGTTTGGGTTCAATATTCAAATGTTCCTTTGAGGTTCTTTTTCTTTTTCTGTACCTCCTTGGGTCACTAATTTCCGGTGGCATGGGTACGTCAAACACGTCATACAATATTTCGATACGTACCCCTTTTCGTGGACTTAATCAGTGAATGTCCGTTTTAACTGATTAAGGTGTCGTTTACGTAAAACTAATGATAATTATCCATTTTAGTGAATACCTTGTACGACTTGGCTTAACGTCCGGTAAATCCTAAATCAAAACCTAAATCATCAACGCACAATAATTCACACTAATTCGACTGGATAGTTCCACTCAATAATCACTTCAGTCAGTAGCCTGACACCGTTATTTATATACCTGACGGAAAACATATATTCATAAGTCCAAAGTGTCACGCTTGAACCTCGGTGTCGGTAGTTACTTATTTTCTTTCTATATGACACCTCCCCTTTTTCAGGTGAAATCTCTGGAATCTATACATCTTCAGTTTAGGTTCAATATTCTAATGTTCCGTTGATGTTCTTTTTCTTTTATTGTACCGCCTTTGTTCACTAATTTCCGGTGGCGTGGGTACGTCAAACATGTCAGACAATGTTTCCATCGGTACCTCTTTTCGTGGACTTACTAAATCTGTGAATCTCCGTTTTAACTGATTAAGGTGTCGTTTATGTTCAAACAAAGATAATAAAGCATTTCAGTTAATACTTTGTTAGTAGCGCGGCTCGGCATAACGTCCGGTAAATCCTTAATCAAAACTCAAATCATCGACACACAATAATTCACACTAATTCGACTGGATAGTTCCACTCAATAGTCACTCAATAATCACTCCAGTCAGCAGCCCGACACCCCTATTATGCATCTGAAGGAAAACGTATATTTATAAGTCCAGAACCTCTATGCCTGTAGTTACTCATTTTCTTCCTATATGACAACAAGTCAGTCAGCTTCTCCACTGACATCCTGGCAACATCTAGCCGTCATGAAACAGAACCGGATCCCGTAGATTAACCTGTTCCAATTGAGTTTTGCTTAACTGAATATGCATTTCATGCTAGCAGTAAATTTTGGCAGTTCTGAAAACTGTAATGAATAGCGCCAATGGCGAACTACCAGACAATCACCATTATCCTCTGTTGCTGCAATTTCAATTTCATGAGGTGTTTGGTTTTCTGTTTTTTTGTTGTTTTTTTTTTAAGCGATTCACCCCAAGCAAGGCGGGAAGCCACTAGGACGCAAGGGGTTACAGAAGATTTGGAGCAAGATCAGATAGGAGTGATAGAGGAAAGGATGAGGAGAAGGATAGTGGATAGATCAAGGCAACTGGAGATGTCAATTGACATTACATTTGAATAGTTGGAGATTATAGCTCTAAGGAAAACAGGAATAGGGAAGGGAGTTCCACAGGCGAGAGGAGCAAGATATGAAGCTATTGGTGTAGAAGAGACGGCTACATTTAATAGTTTCGACAGTGAAAAGGTGAGAGCGGGATGCCAGCCTCGTAGGGCGCTTGAATTCATGAAGTCTGGGAACCAGCGAATGCAGCTCCTCGGAGCAATTACCATGAAAGTATTTGTAAAAAAGACAGAGAGAGGCGACGGCGCGTCTGTGAGAGAGCGACTGTAGACGAGATGCCAGATCAGGGCCAATTATATTGCATATCCGCCTCTGGAGCCTATCAAGAACCCCGAGGCAAACAGAAGGGGCTCCAGACCATATATGGTAGCAATACTCCATGCAAGGGCGAATTGTTGATTCGTAGATCTGAAGGATCGACTCCGGGGATAAAAATTTTCTTGGCGCGGCACTGGGAGCCAACTTTCCTTGCGGTGGACGAAGCAATTGACTCAATGTATTTGTTCCATCTCAGGTCAGCAGTCAACGTGAGACCGAGCAGCTGCAGAGAGGTGCTCTCGAGAAGTTGAGCGTCAGACATTCTAATGGGGGGGGATCTTTGTGGTGATTAATAGAGAGCAGTTTTGTTTTTGAGGCATTAAAGTTGACCAGCCAATTCCTGCCCCAGTCCACAACCGATTGGAGGTCCTTTTCGAGACGCACGGCTAGGCTAGTTTTGTCAGCGACACTAGATTTGTTTTTGAGGCAGGAGTAAATTGTGGTGTAATCCGCGTAGATGCCAACATGGGAATCAATGGCGTTGTTGAAGTATGTTAATATATATGACCATTTGTAGATATCTGTTTGTTAACATGACCTCACGATTTATATTTAACGCAAAATACCACAAAATATGAAACAACAAGAAGGAACAAAAATGGTTTTATAACAACAAGATTTATATTTATTTTTTGTGTAATGATGCACATGCGTAGAGGTGACTATTTTGTTGGAGTTATGTCCCTTTGACTGATTTAAAATTTTACTGATTAAATTGAAATATTTTTATCTGAGCTCACAAAAGTTGAATGAATTATAAAAATAAGAAATGCTGGATAAACTTGTAGCTTTAGAAGAGCATTTCAAAGAAAGAAGTTCTTGTTGCTTCTTTGGAAATGTTTCGTATGTCTGTAATGTAGTTTGGAAAATTTCGTAGGTACGTGCATGAGTGAAATTGTTTTTAACGTCTAACCGCACATAGTCGAGACATGATCCTTTTCGCAGGAAAAGAGAATGAACAAGCTTGTGTCTGCTATTTATAATTAATGTAACCATGTGACAGGCTCCCAGAAAAAGAGCGAGAAAAACTTGATTTGGTCACGCGCTGGAAAAATATTTGTATGTGTGTGGATTGCAACGCCAACTTGTGTATTTATTGACCAATTAGAAGCCGATATTTCCTGAAAATCTGTATGAAGCTGGGTAAGCTCTATGATCCACTTTTTGCACAGATTTGTACAAAATTCAAAATTGTGGTGTCGGGATGCTTAAGGTTTATTCGTCATGATAAGCCATTGAGCCAATTGCTTACAATTGTCATAAAGGATCCATTTCTCATCCCAAATCAAAATTTAGTCATGAACTTGATGATACGAATTTCGCATATATAACATCCAACAAATTTCAAAATTCTTTGACGTTGACTGAGTTCATGTGGAACCCATTTATCAAGTTTTTTCGCGAATCAAGAATCGCAGAGCAGAACTTCAGTAATCAGCGTCGTACCTGACTGATCAAAAGTAAGCCTTTCACTCCATTTTTTGTTAATGTTGGCAGCGCTTTAAGAAGTATTCGGACTAAGATTTGAACTCAGGTAAAAAAAAGTAAGCGCATTTTTTTCTTTTTTCCTCTTTACGATGCGGCGTATATAAGGTTTTAAGATAAATTCTGAAAAAAAGACTGATATAAAATTAATTTTAATATATATATATATATATATATATATATATATATATATATATATATATATATGTATATGCTTGTATTTATGTGTGTGTCTATGTCATTATCTATCTATCTATCTATTGGTTTGTTTATTTTATCTATCTATCTATCTATCTATCTATCTATCTCAGTCTCTTCATTATTCTATCTATCTATCTATCTATCTATCTATCTATCTATCACAGACGCTTCATTATCTATCTATCTATCTATCTATCTATCCCAGTCTGTTAATCCATTCATCCATTCATCTATCTATCTATCTCTATCTATCTATGTCGCTTCATTATCTATCTATCTATCTATCTATCTATCTATCTATCTATCTATCTATCTATCACAGACGCTTCATTATCATCATCTATCTATCTATCTATCTCAGTCTGTTAATCTATCTATCTATCTATCTATCTATCCATCCATCCATCTATCTATGTTGCTTCATTATCCATCTATCATCCATCCATCTATCTATCTATCTCAGTCTGTTAATCTATCCATCCATCTATGTCGCTTCATTATCCATCTATCTATCTATCTATCCATCTATCCATCTATCTCAGTCTGTTAATCTATCCATATCCATCTATCCATCTATCTATCTATCTATCTATGTCGCTTCATTATCCATCCATCTATCCATCTATCTCAGTCTGTTAATCATCTATCCATCCATCCATCCATCTATCTATCTATCTATCTATCCATATCTATCTATGTCGCTTCATTATCCATCCATCTATCTATCTATCTATCTATCTATCTATCTATCTATCTCAGTCTGGTAATTTTCATCATCTATCTATTCATCTATCTATCTATCTATCTATCACAGACGCTTCATTATCTATCTATCTATCTATCACAGACGCTTCATTATCTATCTATCTATCTATCTATCTATCTATCTATGTCACTTCATTATCTATCTATCTATCTATCTATCTATCTATCTATCTATGTAGGTAGCACCAAAGGAACGCGATACCTAACGTTTAAACTTTTTTTTAATGCAAAACCTTTCTTGAAGCTTATATTTTCATTTTAATTTCTATCCCTAAGTTCGTTCCTTTCTTTCGAGGCTTCGTATGGCACTATTTGCAATTTCAATGTTTACCATCACTAGAAAAACACAACTACTTCAACTACAAAGCAAGTGACAGTGTTAATTAATAATCGCATTTTTCTTCCAAAGGTCAGAATTAGCGAAAATATGAAATTGTATTGATCAGTTTTCACAACAGGTATAAACCAGCTTTCAAAATTCTCTTCCAAACAGCGGCTACTATCGACTCTCCAAAGTACAAATATCTCATATATTAAACGAGATTAATCTTTAACAATATGTTAGCTTATATGACACGTTGATGACTAAATTGTCAATTGAATATTAATGATGAAAACGATTTACAATTCTATCGATAGAGGACCTTTATTTCCTTTTTGGTTAGTCAAGTGTTACAAATTCCAAACATCTTTCCAACAAATAGATGAACGTGCTCCAAATATTTACTGTCAATCGTGTATAATCGTGTACAGAAAAAGTAACATCATTGCTAAATTGATATCCTTGGGGAGTTTTTTGTTACAAGGGGGGGTCTAAGATTAATTTCTTTTCATATTTGCACCCCAAACATGAAAACAGAGAAAATCATCTGTTCCGTGGTTGGGGTACTTAAGTGCTTCCATTTCGGTCCATTTTTCGAAAATGTTATTAAGAAAAGACTATTTCAAATATTCTCTTGTATGCAATATTTCTATCAAACTTTCCTTTTCAAATCAGCCTCATTCTATCGAGTTTAACAGCAATTGCACAATTGTTAGAACCGTTGTATCTTAGAAATGATTAAAGATATCTTACTGGAATTCGCAGAGGTTTTTATAACACTATTGGACTCTACTTCGAACAATAAGAATGCATTTAACTCTAAAGTGAAATTATTATCCCTCTTGCTGTTGTGACCTTCTGATTCAGTTTTCCTCTCTAAGCTTCCTTTTTTTTTAAAAAACTTATTCACCATTCTCTTGATGGTTCTTGAGTGGACTTTGAAGATATGAGCCAGAGTATGAATGTTGGTACCACTATTGAAGGCCTGAATTATCTTTTTTTTTAAATGCAGCGTCAATTGCCGTGATCCCCGTTCAGCTTTTACATTTTTCTCAATCCCCCTTATAACCAATCTTTTCAGTCACTTTCATCTTTTGAAACCACACTCGCCTACCTTGGGGTGAAATGCTTAAAAATATATATATATATACGGAACAGACATATAGCCTGACGTGCTTTACCGATTAAAAAATAGTCCTTTCTTCTCGCTTTCTTCTTTCGCCTTATCTAAGCAGTCCTGTAGTTTCCTTTCTGTTATGGTCCAGTTCCTTGTATCACGGTGATAGTCCAAGGTAGAACCAATAAAGAAGAACTCGAAGGCGGATATGGAATAAGACAGATATATTACAAACAAGAATATATACAGAGAAGTAGAAAGTGTTAGTACGAACAATCAGGTTTAGTAGTAATTGTCTGAACACGACTCTGTTTCGGACTGCCTCTGACTCGACTGACTGACTCCTGACGGACTTCACTCCAGACTTCAGACTGAACTCTCTGCTTCCTCTTGAGGCGCAGTATTTATTACGTATGGAATAGTCCATTATGTTATTATGGGTAAGGTACCATAACACTTTTCGAGTCAGCTTTCAACACAATGTCACCTACTTATCCTTATATTTCTAAGATTACAGCTACCGATGATAAATATTGGTTGGGTCTCTAGCTGCCTTAGGATACCTTTGCGCTGTGTGTGTGTGTGTGAGTGTGTGCGTGTGTGTGATTTCTTTCCGTGTCAGCCATCAACACAATGTCGTATGCGTCTCTTATATTGTTAAACCAGCGGTGAACAATAATAAAATCCCGGTATGATCTCCAGTTTCATTAGTAGCTCCCTGTAGAGGTTGAATATATCTGGCGAGAAGACGTATCCTTGTCTTACGCCCTCTCCTTTTCACGAGCAGACAGGGAAATCGTCTCATCCTTACTACTATGGCATCTTTCTGGAATTGTCTTCCCAATCGTTTGTCTCTTTACATGGGCCTGGTTCTGTTACTATAAATCCCTGTTTTTTTGTGGATCTAGGTGACACTTGTTTCTTTACATCTCATTTTTGTATTTTGGGGTCTTTTGTTCTGACATCTCTTCATTAATCAGACTCGTTTAATAAGTCATTTTCTGTTTTTCCACCGTCCTGGGTATAACGATAAAATACATCCGCATCCTGGGTATGACGATAAACTACATCCGCGTCCTGGGTATGAATATAAACTACATCCGCGTCCTGGGTATGAATATAAACTACATCCGCATCCTGGGTAAGATGATAAACTACATCCGATAGCAAGGCCTCTGATCAAGAGGTTTTGAGGAGCGTAGAACCACCTCTTAATTGCTGGTGTTCACAGGTCTACACTGAACCAGGGTGGTAGCACCTGTCAGGGTCCCAGCTATAGGCAAATAGTTACCCCGCCAAAAGGGATCAAAACACTATGAAAGTATAAAAACAGGTTTTAATACCAGAAATACTTTTGGGGGGAAATTATTACCAGCAATATATTTTGGGGAAAAAATTACCATCAATAAAAATCTTGTCGGCATTAAATAACACATTGAGGTTGGTACGCCATTCAACCAAGGAAAAATAAACAAACAAACAAATCTGTTCTTGCAGCCATCCCCTACCTACTTTTATTCAATATGCTCTTGTGAGTGTCAAATTTTCCGCATATTCTTTTCTCGTTTATGTTCCGGGCTTTTTAACTGTCTCTATCTGTTTATCATTAGTTAATCTCTATTTTCTATTCTATTTAATCTTCCTCGTTGCTCAATGTTATGTTCCTTGAATTCTCTTTATTCGTCGTTATAACCATATCGCTGCACATTGCTACTTCCTCTGTGAAGAAACTGTCCAGCATTCAAAACTATATAAAAGATTATATTTTAAGACATTCTTTATGTTTATACGTTCTTTTTATAGATAGAAATATTTAAGTAAATGTTCTGTTTATAATAAACAGTATTAACGACATTTACTGTCCTGAATGTCCGAGAAATTTTCATAGAAAATATGCGTCCTTCGACAGCAACCGAACCTGTATCCTATACGGAAGCGTCATATAGACTGACGTGCTTTTACCGATTTAGCCACAGAGGATCGTTTCGGTTAGCAAGGTCGATTTTACTGTTTTTAAACTACAATTCTTCATGGTTTTCTCACGTACATTCATATCTGCTCGATGCGTATCCACATGTAAACAAATGACGTCACACATTATGAAATGGACAAAATTTGACAATTATTTTAAGACATTTTTTTATGTTTATACATTCTTTTTAGAGATACAAATATTTAAGTAAATGCTCTGATTTATAATAAACAGTATTAAACAACATTTACCGGCTTGAATGTCCGAGAAATTTTCATAGAAAATATGAGACCTCCGACAGGAATCGAACCTGTATCCTATACGGAACCGTCATATAGCCTGATGTACTTTTACCGATTGAGCCATAGAGGAGCGTTTCGGTTAGCAAGGTCGATTTTACTGTCTTTAAACTACAATTCTCCATGATTCTTATATATTACATAACACTATCACCCCTCTCTTTGTATCCAATGACATTTTCTCGTCCTTAATACCTTATTCGATTTACGAAAAACAGCATTTGGTATTCTTATGGGGCTTTCGATTTCTGTGCAGGTGTAAATGAGACATTACAAGATTGTTAGATTTGAAAATTGATATAGTTTTGGGTTCCAGATTAATATTATCAATATTTACTTTATTAAACGTTTTAAATTATGATAAACCGAACCTTACGTATGCCTCAGGTGTGTGCTGTTTTAAATCAAGTTTATTGATTTTTTCCTACTTCTTAATAACTCAGATATTTCCATAACCCTATTTCTGGTAATAATTTTAATAAAGTTCTGATATTTTAATACCAGGAACAAAATATATAGAGAAGGTAACAGGAAACGATTTTTTCCAATAACAATAATGGCAATGTACACTATGTAACAAATAAATAAATACAATGTTGAAGGGTCATGCCACTAAAAAAGAATTAGAAACATCGCTGTTTCCCCCAGTTTTTGTTGGGCTAAGTGTGTAATGGGAGTATTAGAGTCTCATAGCCTTCTTTCACCATTACGTGTACATAAATTTCAGTTAAGAGAGAAAGAACTAGAAAAAAAAGTTGTTTTTTTTTAATTTGAGGCCCCCCATTTTTTCGCGTTCATATTTGAATATTCCTTGAAGAGTTTTTTCTCTTTTACAAATTTAATAAATACAAACACGAAATTACGCTTATTGTATATTCAAATCTTTTCATGGTAATTTTTCTGATGAAGTTTACTCTATAGTAAACTCGACCTCACAAATTTTAGCGCAGTACTAGATAAGCGCCAATGCCTCATCATTTTGTATTTGAAAAGCTTAGAAGTAACCGTAAGTTTTGTCCTAACAATTTCTTTTGTCTTTAATCATTTCAACTCAAGTAAAGCGATAATGCCACTAAGACGCAAGAGGATACTGAGAGTGAAAGAGAATGAGAAGACTTCAGTGAGGAGAAAGGACAATAAAAGAACACGATTCAAGAAGACAGAAGATGGCGATAATGCCGCTAAGACGTAAGGGGTTAATGGGAGTGAAAGAGAATGGAAAGAATTTAGGAGAAGGAACCGGAAACACAATCCTAAGCAGGAAATAAGAAGCAAAATTCTACTCTTGCTCAAAAGATTGTGGAGGATGTGAACTGTGTGAACTGAGTGTGACAAGCGAATCTATCGACTTCTTGCACTTTTCGCGTGTGGAACTCACTTCCGGCTTCTTGCTTCTCAGTCATCTTTGATCTTCAAAAATTTAAATGCAATGTCAATCGTTATCTTCTGTCTTCTTCATTCCAGTTCTTTTATTGTCCTCTCTCATTAATAGTAGTTTTTCTCATATTCTCTAACACTCACTAACCCCTTGCATCCTAGTGGCTTTATTGCCTTTGATTTTAAAAAAATTAAATGCAATGTCAATCGTTATCTTCTGTCTTCTTAATTGCAGTTCTTTTATTGTCCTCTCTCATTAATAGTGTTTTTTTTAATTAATTCTCATATTTTCTCGCACTATGTGATTGATTCGTTTTCTTTGTAGGTTATTTAAAACAAGAAAATAGTTTTGGATTGTAAGTAGGAAGATAATAATGCGTTAGTGATATTAGTGATAGCTGGGGAAAAGTGGTGGACTCATGACTTTCCCATGGTTATTTGCGGCTAAGGGATTATAACGACTCCGACTCGTATTGAAACTCGGCTCTACGATTAAAAATTCCGAGCCATTAATTATTACACCATCTGCACATCCACGCTTACACCACCTGGTATTCCTAAGCTGTCACCCATCTAAGTACTGACCTGGATCGACGTTGCTTATTTGGTGATCGTAAGGGAAGAAATGTTTCAAGGCTATATTTTATTTTAAGCATTTCACCGCAAACAAGGTGTGAGTGCCACTAGCACGCAAAGGGGTTACAGAGGATTGAGAACAAGAGTAAAGAGGCTTGTTTGAGGAAAGGATATAGAAAAGGACAGGGAATAAGATGGAGGTATCAGAAGATGTCGATTGACATTACACTTGAATATTTGAAGAATATAGTAATCAGGGAAACAAGTAGAAGAGAATTCCACAGGTGGGAAGTGCGAGAGAAGAAGAATGCTGAACTGTTGATATGCATCGTTCTATATGACAATCAACGCTGAACAATCTCCTGAAAGATGAAGAAGAGGCTTGAAACAATAGAAATGTTGCTCTACAGAAGGATGCTGATGATATCTCGAACCGAACATGTGAGCAACGACGAGGTTTTAGAGAAAATGGAAACAAAAAGGAAATTTATACCTAACATCACGAATAGCTAGTTGAAGCTGTTTGAGTAGAAGAGACGATTACATTTAAATGGTGGGGCCGAAATGCCAACCTAGTAGCTCGATTAAATTCATGCAGTCTGGGAACCAGAGAAAGGAACTCGTCGGAACAGTTACCGTGAAAATATTTATAGAAGAGACAGAGGGAAGCTATGATACGTCTGTGAGAAAATGATTGTAGACTAGATACCAGACCAGGACCTATTACATTGCATATCGCATAAACCTCTCACACTCAGTAGCTCCTTGTGTCTTAATGGCTTTATTGCCTTGCTTGGGGTGGAATGATTAAAAACTATTGCTTACAAAAATTAATCTGTATTATATAGATTTTATATTGAATAATAACGTTATTGGGAGATTGGAAACTTAATATTTTCTAATGATGTCCCCACTTTTTTAATACGTCGGATTATATCTTAAACCCTTTCAGATAATATATCAGTGTACTTATCGCTTGCGACTCCAAAAGGCCTTACTAACAAGAATGCCATTAAGGAATATAGCGCCGGACCCGTAGCAATATGATAATCGTTTGTGAAAAGATCAAAGACCAAGGTTAATAAGAGTCAATCAGTATCGATTTTGTAATAAAAGTGCGTCGACAGCAAAAGTCTTAGCTGTCTGGTGACTACAAAGTGGGGGGCAACAGTTGTCTGTTAAAATGTGTGAACTGAAACCTTCGATTTTGTTATCAGTGTTTAAAAATATCATCAGAAAGTTTTCAAAATGCGGGAAAAGTTCACGGAACTGGCGATTTCCGTTTAATGAGGCCGAGTTCAAAGGCTGGTTTTATCTATCTATCTATCTATCTATCTATCTATCTATCTATCTATCTAAGTCTGTTCATTATTCATCATCTATCTCAGTCTGTTCATTATCTATCTATCTATCTCAGTCTGTTCATTATCATTCTATCTATCTATTCATCTATCGATCGATCTATCTCAGTCTGTTCATTATCTCATCCATCTATCTATCTATCTATCTATCTATCTCAGTCTGTTCATTGTCTATCTATCTATCTATCTATCTCAGTCTGTTCATTATCTATCCATCTATCTATCTATCTATCTATCTATCTCAGTCTGTTCATTGTCCATCTATCTATCTATCTATCTATCTCAGTCTGTTCATTATCTATCTATCTATCTATCTATCTATCTATCTATCTATCTATCTCAGTCTGTTCATTATCTATCTATCTATCTATCTATCTATCTATCTATCTATCTATCTATCTCAGAATGTTCTTAATCTCTATGGCAGATTCAGTAAAATACCTACAAAGCGTTATCAATGAGTTGTGTCGCGTAACAGACACTCGCGCACACACACACAGTCGCGTACCCCCATATATATATATATATATATATATATATATATATATATATATATATATATGTACGAACAACTTTAAAAAACGAACAGTATTCTTCTTGAGGCAAAAGTGTTCCGCACACGTCTTCAGTTGTGCACCCTCGCCATTGCCAGGAGAGTTTTTAATGTTCATTTTGGTCTTGATGAAAATTGATGAATATGAAAGCGAAAACTGAAGTTAGAAAAGTTAAAAATGGAAAAAAAAGCTGCTACTCATCTTAAACGTGTCAGTTTTGAATAAGAAAGCCAGAAACATAAAGCAGTAATAGACTTTTGCATACAACATTCCACCTTTTAAAATTCCTTTGGGTGCCTTCTAATCTTTTATTAATCTAAAGTAAAATGGTTAAGGATTATATTAATAAAGACATTTATTAGGTTGGTGCAAAAATAATGTCGTTTTTGACGTTCAACTTAATATCAAAATGTCATTATTTTTGCATCAACCTAATATTAAATTCAAAACAAGAACAGCAACAGGAATGAATCGTTAGCAACACCTGAGACTAATCCTCACCCGTCCTGGGTATGACGATAAACTACATCCGGCAGCAAAGCCTCTGATCCGGAGATTGGAGGTTTTGAGGACCATGGGACTCGTAATTGCTGCTGGTCTCGGTAGAACCTCATAGGGACCCAATTACGGGTAAATAGTGACCCCCAAACTGAGGTCAAAACACGAGGAAAGAATTAGAACACTAGGAAAATATTAGAATACATTTTTATCGTTTATGTTATTGCTTTGCAAAGTAAGATATATTCACTACTTGGAATATTTGAAGCAAAAGTTTTAAAGGATAATTTCATTCATAAATTGGCTTGTTATAGTTAAGGAAAGTTTTACAAATAGATGCCAACTTCTTGTATGCCAAGTAAAATGCGAATTTCAAAAACTTATCTTCACTGTCAGTTATGTACCATGCGTGATACACACTTAGGCTATTGACGAAGCATATTTTTTCCCGCAGTAGGTTGCCATTTCTTTCTGCGGTAGACCAGTTGCCATCCAAGTCTATTGAACCCGGTCTGTCCGGCTATTTACCCATAGCTGGGGGGAAGAAGAAGAGGATTCTTACCTTTCCCATGTAAGTGAATACAATGGTTTCAACTGGAATTCGATTCCTTAATCCGAGTAATCCATTACTCCACATTGCCTTCCTTTCTGCACTATATAAGACGATGTTCCTAAACAGAACTATTTTTTATATGAAAATCGAAACAATCCACGAATAAAATAATAATAATGAAGGACACTTAATTAAAGAAATAAACTTTTTAAAAATAAATATGCAAACTAATTAAACGTAGATAATGATATTGCATAGAAGTAGGTACACATCTACTTATCATCTCTTAATTTCGTTCACGGGCGACTCCGTCAAAGGACAGAGTCGCAACAGAGGAAAATTATACTGAAGAGGTGCCCATCCTTGGGGAACAGCTGCCCGACGCCGCGCCTTCTCATTGCACTAGAGAGAAGGATCGGTGCACGCACCGAGGCCAGCGCAACCAACGGTTACGAGGGCTGGGGGAATTTTTGTTCCTTCCCGGGTGTACGCGCTCGGGCTCCACACGTTAAAACGACCCTGTGTCACAACCTGACCTTGTCGGAAGTTGAGTAAATATCTACTCTTTTGGAATAATTTCACGTCTACTTATCATCTCTCAGTTGCGTCTCTGTCTTTTCACATCTCGTCCTAGAAGGGGCACTGAGTAAATACCGTATGCAAATTACTATAAAGTAGAGTTGTGTTTTTTTAATCTCAGAACTCGTGGGAGAATTGAGCTCCAATTTCGCATTTATTCATATAGATTCCATAATATAGGCTTTACTTAATTTGCTATTATGTTTCTCTAACTCTTCAAATGTTGAATGTATAACTAATTCTAATTTCTATTTTCCCACCTTTACACTATATTAATTTTATCTCATAAATTGTCCCCTGTAATTGTTTGTCCGAAAAATAAGGATCTACGTACATCAAATCGTCTTTAATTTAAGTGGCAGCAGAAGAATAATCGTTGAACTTTTAAAAGGTAAGCTTAAACATTAATCCAATACTTAAATGCAGCAATCAGTTTTGAGTTCTTCTGTAGTTTATTGATGCCTATCACATCTACTCCTCCCTACCTATTGTGATCATGGCCAAACCAAGAGTCCTCCATAACGGGCGGTTTTTAAGATAGCTTTAAATTTTAAGCTAGCTGCAATTTTGGATACAAAAAGAAAATACGAATTACTCCCTTTGAACCATGAAAGCAACGATAATAGCTAGTATATATTAATATATATTTTTAACCTCGCATAATCTGGAAACCCTGAATCTGAGCTCAACGAAAATCGTTGCCTGCGCCTAACTTTTCTAGGGTTTTTGAATGAGCTATGAATCATTGAAATCGGACTAATGGGAGCGGGGGAGTTACTTGGACACCGCACACGCACGCACGCACACACACACACACACACACACACACACACACATAGTCTGTACTTTATATATAAGATTACCAGCCATACATTTTGATAAAAAATTACTACTAAATTACTATTTTTGTATTAAAATTACCAACAATACATTTTTATAGCAAAATGACCAATATTAATTTTTTAATAGTAAAATGACTAACAATACATTTTTGTATTAAATTTACCAACAGTACATTTTTATAGTAATAATACCAACAATATATTTTTATAGTAAAATGAAAATCAATATATTTTTATAGTAAAAATGAAGATACCTGGCGTACATTGTCCAAAAAACAAAATAAAAAATAAAACAACTTTCTTTCTTTCTTTCTTTCTTTCTTTCTTTCTTTCTTTCTTTCTTTCTCTGAAACCAAACAACATCTTACTGATTATAAAACGCAGATTGTGTGTGTGTGTGTCTGTACGTTTATATATTGGGTCGGATTTTCTACATTTTTCAACAAATTTCAACAAAACTTCACAGGACTACATAAAATTACATTGCAGTGGTATCTAGCCACCCTCCCACGAGGGTTGCATGTGGCACAAGGCCGAGTTTAACGTGGTTTCCCGAACCCGCAGGCTCGGCCAACATTGCAGTGGTTCTAACAGCCCCCAAAATTGGAAAAAACACAATTGTTTTTGCACGAAATCAATTTGAAAACACGATTAAGAGGCATCGCTGTCGAGAATGAAAGGCGGACAACTCATATCGAGTTATACTTATTATAAAACCCAGGTTGTTTGTGTGTGTGTGTGTGTGTTCGTTTATATATGGGATCGGATTTCCTACATTTTTTCAACCGATTTCAACAAAACTTCACTTTTTTTTTTTGGCAGGTAGTTTCTTATTGTCTTGCACACTTTTTTTTTTTTTTTTACATTCAGAATGCTTTAAAAATTCCATTTACAAGACAATTGTTTATAATAAAATTCTATTCAATCGGTAGACTCATAACAATTGAAAACAATGTTTTTGTTTGAGTTTGGATTTGACCAATTCGTAACTCCCCCCCAAAAAAAACTAATTAAGACATGCGTGTCCGTCAACCTTAAACAATAATCTTTGTCAATTTTATTTTTCAGTCTTCATGATGGTTGATACTTGATTTATCTCTTACTGTTACATCCCCGGGCAACGCCGGGCTCTACTGCTAGTCCTAAAATGTCTTTTTCATCTTTCCTTGTAATCACAATGTAATAATCCATTCTTTATGAGACGTACAGAGTGCCACGTACAGGCTAAGTAACTAGCTAATGGTAATGATAATATAAGCCATTTCCCTACAAGGAAACAGTTGGTATTCATTGACCAGGCAGCCATTACTGCATTCGGTTGAAGGTTACAAAATCTTTCTTTCAAAACAATTATTCAGGAAAATAGGTTTCTCAAGTCCAGTAGCTGTTATCGGTCTTTCCAGAATTGATGGACGTTTCTTTACTAACCTTTTGTTTGAAGTAGTGTGGTGTGTCAACACCTTGATTATGCTAATATTATCTCTTCGAGTTACATTTTGCTATACATTTTAGTTGTTGCCGCTGTTGGTAGTCATCAAGTGATGTAGTTTCTGTTATTTGGTACAGTTCTTTGCGATTCTGTACAGTTCCTTGTTTGCCATTCCATAATGTTTTAAATAAGGATAATTTTTGGTCAAATCTCTCGTGTTTCACTCCGTTTGCCAATAATCATAAAAAGCAATTGTATACAGCTGGGCATTTAGATAGTTCTGACCGGATTTGGCACTATGCATGATATTAATATGAAGTCTCGGGTTTTCACGTTGATGTTTTGGGCTTGTAGCAATTTGTGGTATTGGGCAAAACAACCTCTGGTGCAACATAATCTTATATATATATATATAAACAAGTTTGATTGAAAAAAAAACATGTCTGTTTAACTTTTTATGATACTTTTCAAACTTTCGGGTAAAATGCTGAGTATTGTGGAGTACTAAGTTCATATTTTGTTATTTATGTTCAAGTAATTTTGACTTTGCTTACGATCACCTGAAGAAGTAGAATCATAGTATTGAAACATGAAAGCTTTTGGGTAGCGTTTTCAACATTTTTATTATTATAAGCTCTTATAATAAAAAATAATAATGTATTGAGCACTTTTTAAAAAGTAAATGCTACAATCGGTGGAACTTTACATCTATTCTTTCTCTTATATATATATATATATATATATATGTGACCAAGTAAATGGTTAAGTAATAACAAAACCAGGTTTGCAAATATATTGTATATTAAACAGCAAGTACACCAGAAGAGTGTTCCACTACTAGTGAGAGTGTATCGAATGAACTAACGCTCAATCTATTTATCGTTCACTGTTCCCCAAACCTTCTCTCCTACTAAACTTATAGTAGGCGAATGAGTCTAACATAGACTCTCAGAGGGAGGACATCAGAACAATATATATATATTCAAAGGAACGAGAAGCAATAAACAGAATAATATATGTATTTATGTGAAAGTAAAAAAAAACAACAACAAACAACTTTAACGGGTTTAAAACGGATCAGATTTTGTCTCGCTAATATAGATTTTGTTTAAAGCCGACTTTCAAATTGTCTTATAAAGGTTTCACAAAAAGTATTTATCCCCCGTCGCGCCATGTTTTTCTTTGTTCTTTCTTTTGTCCTTCATTCGCTCTTTTTCCATACCTAACTCTCTGTCCATTTCTCTTTATTTCTGTTTCTCTTCTCCCCCTCTCTATCTTTATCATAAACTTAATGTCTACTTCTTTCTCACCCTATCTCTCTTTCAGACACTCTTTTTCTACATCCATTGCTCTTTCTTCGCTTCTCATTTTCTCATTCTTATTCCCTCATTGGCTTACTCTTTTCTCGTCCCGTCACGTACCCTCTCCTTTACTATCGCTTCTTCCCTATCATTTTCTCTTACTCTCTCTTCTTAAAACTGTCTTTTCTCCAACTGTCAGTCGCTTCATTCTCTCTCTTTCTCCCTTAATCAATTCCTTCATCTAACTCTACAAACAATCATTCAGCCTCTTTATCCAGACAGCTTCTTCTTCTTCTTCTTCTAATTTCTTTTTTATCAACCCTATAATTTTTGCTTTCCTTCTATTTCCATGCTTTTCTTTCTCCTTTTCTTTTACTCACTCATTCCTCCACTACTATATATATATATATATATATATATATATATATATATATATATATAGATAGATAGATAGATAGATAGATAGATAAGGGTGTAGATTAATATTTGGGTAATATTCAATGGCGGCACTCTCGAGGATTTTTCTCGAGGATTGCAACGTCGTCAGCGTGGTCGATATCGGTGGTCGGGCGGTCGTGGCGGGCTCTGGCGCTCGCGGGGCCAGCCATGCTATTCTCCAGTTGCGAATCTACGAAGCCATGATCAGAACAATTCTTCTCTATGGTTGTGAGACCTGGCCACTGCGCAGAGAGGATCTTCATAAGCTTGAGGTCTTCGATCACTACTGCTTCCGCCGTATCCTGCGCGTGCGCCTCTCCGACCGGATCCCCAACTCGTCCATCCGCGCCAGATGCAACATTCTGGGCCTGGAAGAAACTCTGCTTAACAGGAGACTCCGGTGGTTCGGCCACGTGCTGCGGCGGCCTGGTGATGAGTTCGTCCGTAAACTGGTGGCGCCAAACGCACCCACTGGTTGGAGGAAGCGCCGAGGTGGTCAACTCAAGACGCGGCTCGCAACGGTCAAAGCAGATATGGAACTCATGTCCGGTCCTCGCGTTTTCGGGATCCGACGCTGGAACCGCGAATGGCTCGATCATGCCGTCGATTCTGCTGCTGATCGACGGGAGTGGATGGCCTTGACGAGAGAGGCGGTTAATTCAGTTGAAGCCGGCTCCTACCCCGGGTGAATGCCGTTACAAGACAAGAGAAGAAGATTTTCCTTCTGAGTGAATTATTATCTTTTTTTATGAGTGTAGCATTTTAAAATTCAAATTGTGGTTGAATTTATTTCTATGTATGACTAGTGCATTAACTAAGTTTTTTTGTGAGGTCTCGGACAATCGGAAAACTGTAATAATTGCCGACGTGTTTCGTTCGATGTAGACTTTCTCACGACAAAAACGAAATGAATTTATTAAACGAAGTAACTAACAATAAAAAAACAAAATGTCCTTAGTAAGTGGAAGAATTTAGAGAACGCTATTTTCATACTATTAACTGAAAATTATCTCAATCACTGTCACGTGTGGAGATATTGTTTTTATTTTTGTGTTGATTGATTCAACCATTTTCTTTTGATTTCTTGATACTGTTCTGTACGTGTGTTTGGAGTAGTAGTAATTCTGTTAACAAAGGTGAAATAGGGAAAAAGCCTGGGCGTACATTAATAATTGCATTTATGAGCACAAAAGAGACCTCAGACAAAAGTTAGCTAATGCACTAGACAAACATAGAAATAAATTCAACAATTTTGATGTTAAAAATGCTACACTTATAAAAAAAGAAAATAACTCATTCAGAAGGAAAATCCTCGAGAGTGCCGCCATTGAACCTTACTCAAATATTAATCTACGCACATGCTTTTTTTTTTTTCATTTCGTTTTTGCCTTGAAAAAATCCACATCGGACGAAACGCATCGGCAATTATTACATTTTTCCTATTGTCTTTTACATTTATAAATATTGTCTTTTTCTAAACGTTAACTCTGAGAAATTTTTTTTCTATATATATATATATATATATATATATATATATATATATATATATAAACAAATTTGATTGAAAAAAAAAAACATGTTTGTTTAACATTTTATGATACTTTTCAAACTTTCGGATAAAATGCTGAGTATTGTGGAGTACTAAGTTCATATTTTGTTATTTATGTTCAAGTAATTTTGACTTTGCTTACGATCACCTGAAGAAGTAGAATCATAGTATTGAAACATGAAAGCTTTTTGGGTAGCGTTTTCAACATTTTTATTATTATAAGCTCTTATAATAAAAAAATAATAATGTATTGAGCACTTTTTAAAAAAGTAAATGCTACGATCGGTGGAACTTTACATCTATTCTTTCTTTATTTGTATATATATATATATATATATATATATATATATATATATATATATATATATGTGACCAAGTAAATGGTTAAGTAATAACAAAAACCCGGTTTGCAAATATATTGTATATTAAACAGTAAGTACACCAGAAGAGTGTTCCACGACTAGTGAGAGTGTATTGAATGAACTAACGCTCAATCTATTTATCGTTCACTGTTCCCCAAACCTTCTCACCTACTAAACTTATAGTAGGCGAAAAAGTCTAACATAGACTCTCAGAGGGAGGACACCAGAACAATATATATATATATATATATATATATATATATATATATATATATATATATATATCTTCTATTTCCCCATCTTTCTATCTCTCTCTGTCCGTGTTTTAATGATTAATTATCCTTATGTCTTAATAATTGCCTATCCTTATTTTTATTATAATTTCACATAATAAAAATAAAAATCATATATATATACACAACGACTTCTTAAATCAATTTCGCCAACAGCAAATTGTGAAATGTCAGTCCAGCATTTTATTTAACACAATCGTATATATATATATATATATATATATATATATATATATATATATATACGTCGAGTGTCCTCTAAATGTCTAGTCAATCGTATGGGTGGATTCTCATTCAAATGTCCTTTATTAAACCTAACGCACCTCGTCGCACTACATCCGCTCAAAATTGCTTAAATCAACGAAAAAATTACAGTTATCCCTGAAATGAAGGAAAGTTTTTAGGAAATATTTTTCGCCAAACGTTACCGCTTTAATGGAGGAGGTTTTTTTCAGATGACAATTGCCACGTGAAAGAAAGATGCCTGACACCGGAAGAGCGAACGCGTAAGCGACAAAAGCTGAATAAAATCATAGAAAAAAAAATTAAAAAACAAAAAATATGAAAAAATGGGGAAGAAATGACGTAATAGCGAAGCATAAAGCCTCATTCTGGTATTGAGAAGAAGAATAGCAGACGACATAAATTACACAAGAGATATTTAACATATATATGAAGAGTTCTTCAGATACTTGGACATCCATGAGAAGACGCATCAGTGCATTTAAAAGCAAAATAAATAGCATTTGGGAGATGCCTGCCTCTCTACAAATCGCAATAAAATTTTCATATTCTACTCATATGAATGCGAATAAAATGCCAATATGTTGCAGGAACAGATACATAACCAGATGTGTAGGTGGATATACAGGCTATTCGAAATGAGAAATCGAGGAACCGAGTTCGAATTCCAGTCGAGTTCATTGCATTCGAATTAAATACGATCCCAATGCACAAATACCTCTTGGAAACGTAAGAATCCATGTCTTCTACCCCCACTAAGCTATGGGCTAAATAGCGGAACAGAAAGGACTCTCTAGCTGCGGTTAGCAACCAGTATAGAAGGACAACTTTTATGATAGTCAGAACATTAATAGGAAATGCTATTGACATCATTGTCTATTCGATTATGACGTCTTATTCTTCTGCGTTATATAATGGTTAGAGACGCTAATAGGCCGATATTTCAAAAGATCAGATGTTTGCCTGATTTCTTAAAGGCATGAACTGCAACAGGAGATTTTCAACAAGCATATAAGCATAAGGAAGCAAGGCATTTATTGTAGAGTTTAGAGAGAACAGGAGCCAGTTCGGAACCATATTCCTTAAGCGCTATAACAAGGATACCATTAAGTCCACATGCTTTGAAGGGATCTAGTTTAGAGGTGATAAACGGAGTCATATGCATATCACTCAATATGGACTTGGTTCAGTCAAAGATACCTCACGAGTCGAGAGAAGAACGCGAAGAGAATTTGCAAGCAAATCATTATGCTTTATTAATAGAAGGAGTTAACACCTCAAATTGAGGGAAGAAACTCTTTCTATTTTCTACATACAACGTGTGAAAGCACGTGTGATACCCTGCACTTGTCAGCTGCCGACTAGAGAAGGTAACACAGTTTCGGTTGCTAAGGCGGTACTGCTACCCCTGGTGCCATCAGCAGCTTTTGCCACCGGACAGAGTATTTCTTTTTTTATGTCGACCTGTAAACCTCTGCACTTTCCTATGCAAATGCAAGTTATAATTTTAACGCTGTGCTAATAATCGTTTGCCTTTGATCGTTAACCAATACACAATGAGCTCGTAGCGACCGATATAAATGAGGCGGAATGGAAGCTAAGCAGATGTATTTCACATTGGAAGTAGCATTGTGTTGCGGACATAGTTTAATTAAATTTGTTTATTTTGGATCATGACCAGATCCGACTCGATGCCTGTTGAGCTGTGCCCTGGAGACGATATGAAGCACATTTCAGGCTCCGGCCTGTGATGCTCACCTTCAAAAGTAGGAAAGGACTGACTGCCAAGGAATCCACGGCACTCGACTTCAATAGGTAGGACATGACATGTCCACTCCTTTTCCAAACAGTCGATTCCTGTTCAGCTGTGGCCTGGAGACGATGTGAAGCACGCTTCAGGCTCCGGTCTATGATGCTCACCTTCAAAAGTAGGAAACGATTGACTGTCTAAGGAATCCACAGCACCCGACCTCAATAGGTAGAACATGACATGTCCACTTTTTTTCCAAACAGTCAGATCGCAGCGATTCGTAGCAGTTTTTCTTTTTCTCATGTGCCTACTGTGTCTTCTTCTCCCACTTAAGACATTATTACACAGCTGCCAGTAATCACGTGTGTTAAAATTGTTAGAAATATGAGAAGAAAGAAAAATGAAATTATTGAAAAAAAGTAAAGAAAATTAATTTGTTCAGAATGAAAGAAAAGAGAAAGATAAAAGACTGAGAAAGAAAGAAAAAATGGAGAAGAAATGAATGAAAGGAAATTACATGACCATCTTAAGAAATAAGAATAAGTGTTAGTGAAAGAAAATTAAATGATTGAGAAAGAAAGAAAGAAGCGAAGAAAAAAGAAAGAAAGAA